GGACCCAGTATGACTTTTTCAAGGAGTAAGAACAATGAACGGAACGTGCTTCCAGGTGAAGTCCACCATAACAGGCCACGAGCAAGCACAGGTGAGTGCGCGCATGTGTGCCGACACAGTCTTTTTAAAAAAACAACTCTTTCCAAATCAGAACAATTTCAACAGTACCACACAACCCACGTGTGTTTGCCCACGTCACCTTTCCTCAGAGCCTGTTAACAACAAAGAAGCACCTAGTCAACAGGCAGGACAGTCCCGAGCGATGGATGCACCCCTGAGCAAAACCAAGGAGGACCACACAACCGAGCACTGAACTATCCCCCCAAAGGAGATGATGCAATCCTGATGTCATGTCAATTTAAGGAATATAATTCTGGAAAAACGACAGCCAGCCTTATTTTGGGACACCCAGTTTTTCTGATGAAGAGCGGCCTGCAAGGCCCACTGTCGGATTTGGTTCCACCCTTGTCTTCATTTTTCTCAGCACGGATGTTACCCTATTGGTTTTATAGGCTTATAAATGTTAAACATCAAAAATTAGTTTCACTTATTGTGGCTGGAAGAGGCTTTAGGAACTCTGGGATCTGTGCCTCTGAGCACAGGCTTTATCAGCAGGCCCCAGTCGCTGCGTCCTGAGAAAGAGAGCGGGGCTGATTAAAGCCCAGCACACCTGACTTCCAAAAGGACCCCTACCAAGCACATATAGATTTAATTCATAAAGGCTTTCTGCCCCAAACTCACAATTACTTACTTCTCAAAATCCCATCTCATATCCACGGTGATGGCACCGAGGGGATAAATATGAAAAATTAAATCTCAAACCAAACTATTTACTCAAGAATTCCACCTTGATTACTATTTTCTTCACAGGCGCCTGATGAACACGGCATCAGTATCTTTCCAATGTCTGCGGCAGAACACACACACACTGCAGATGCTTTTCCCCTTTACAAGGAAACAAAGAGGGCCTGAATCACTATTCTTTTTTTTCTTTTAAATCAAAATTCCCTGACCCTGCACTAAATAAATTTGATTTATATAACTAAAGCAAAGCATTATATTTATGTGGAAATAAGAACACTTGAGAAAATGTTTACTATCCTTTACAATGCTGAAAATATCATGTATTTCTATAGCAATCTCATTTGTCATAAAGTGTGACAGGAAATAACCCTTAAGAAGGAAAATACATAGTCAATCTTAGACAATTCCCATTTCTAAGACCAAGCACAACACCAAGCAGAAACCTCGTATTCTCAAAGGAAATAGTCTGAGGCTGGGCCCTGTGAGTGGCGCTGACAGGGAGCCCCATGGGAGACGGCTGCCAGGCAGGCCAGGTGGGGGTGCAGGAACTGCACGCAGATGAGGCCACGGGTGGCCCTATCGCCTCCCCTTCAGGAAGATTGTATCCACTCAGCATAAGCTGCCTGATTAGTGACATCTAGATGTCAGCGCATCATTTTAAAATACTTAAATTTGAGGAAAACTATATCCAATTCTCAACTGTGCAGGCTTACTTAGAGACATGGTTCAAAAAAAATTCGATAACTGAGTATCTCATTTAAGCCAAATTTTAGAGTTGGTTTGTGAAGTAAAGATGAAAGGTACAATCACATAACTTAAAGATGTAAAGTCACTTGGCAGCTACCATAAAAGCAACGGAGGCTAGCACCTGGAAGCATGGAGCATTTACATAGCCTGAACAGCTCCCAGCTCGCCATGAAACATTTATTAACTACATAACGAAAAAGTAACACTATAGGAGAAAAACCCGGACCTCACCCTAACCAAATAAAGGAACATCACCAATAAATGAGCCCAGCAGGTATCACGTGCCTCAGCAGCCTGCACTGAGGAGAACACAACAGGATCACAGACGTGATGCCAAAGTGAGTAACCTGGATGCAAACAAACTAAAGCCGAGGCATGGCTCTAGCCTGTCGTGACTAGAAAGAGGCACAACAAAATACAAGGAATTAGAACAGGAGAAAGAAAATTTCCTTTACCCTAAAGGAAATTAATGAGACATTTGGCAAATCTAAATAAGGTATATAAATTAGAAAGAATGGTAAAGCAAAGGTTAAGTACTAACATGTCAAGTTTCTGGGTGAAAGGTAAATAGGAAATCTCCACACATTTCCCATGAAAAAGTCTGAAATTATTATTCAAACTAAAAGATTTTCTTTTTTTAAATTCAAATGTGCTCAACTCTTAAAACTTTAGCACTATGAATTCTACCTAAAAGAACACAGAACCTCCAGTAAAGTGTTTCTCAGTGAGTTTCCCTGACCCGTGCCAGGTACTGATGAGCAGAGACCAGAGTACTGGCCATTACTCTTGAGAAGGGTGGACATCTGAGCAAACGCACTGACCTGGGCCCTCTGGCCAGGTCCAGCCACCTTGCTACTTGGGAGACATCACAAAATACACAATTCTTGGGTCTGCCAAAAGGAAGGCCGGCCAAGCAGCAACGTGGGACACTGGTCTGAGGAGCCCTGTGAGAGTGTGGGGAGCAGTGAAGACGGAAGCCCAGAGACTTGGTCTCACACCCCACACTCCGTGGTGTTCACGTGTGTCTATCTTTAGCTTACTAGAGCCATCCAGTCAGCTCGAAGACCAGCCACGTGCTGATGGTACCAGCAACTGCTAGACAGCGAACAATAACCAATACCCGGAACTGTAAAGGGATTCCAAAGAAAGGTGGTCAAACAGCAAGACTAGCCAATTACACCAAGTGCATACAAGTGATCTCCAAATTTGGGGGCGTTCACCCAGATATACCAGAGAATGGTGGGGAAGGACAGGCACGTGGGGTTGAAGGATGGACTGGGTGGCACAGGAAGTCACAGCGGGGACAGCGACAAGTGACTCTAGGGCCAAGTGGACTTTCAGACACTGAAAAATACATGGGCGGCAACACCAGTACTGGCTGTCAGCAGGAGGGTGGAAGATGCTGGCACCCTGCCCTGAATATTCCTGGGCCAGGAAACTGGCACTTAAGTAGCCCACTGGTAATCAAGCATTCCAATTTGTGTCTCATGCCCAGCCCCAGCCTGCCCACATGTATGTCCCCTTCACCATTCTCGACACTTCTTGTCAACTCCCAATCCGCAGGTGATCTGTACTAACATGCCGAGTACTGTGTGCACGTGCAAGCGGCCTGGAGACATACCTGGTACTTCTAGCTGCACTTCTAGAGCCAAATAAGTCCCATGTGTCAAAAATACCTGGAAGAAGACCACTGCTAGCTAACAAACAGCAGGTGCTATGTAGTTAAATAGAAATTTAAAGACAATCTTTAGCACATAGTTGATTCACAGAAATAAGAGCCAAGGTACCAAAAGACGTCAGTAGAATAACCAACCAACACTGACATGCTACTGAGTCTGTAGGATCATTCAGCACACTATCGGCCTCACCATACTAAAATGTAATACCTGTTCCTATTTTAAAACAGAGTAATATGATGCTATTCAATGAAAGTATGACTTACAGTAAAAAACAGAACAATGGGCCCTCCCTGGTGGCGCAGCGGGTTAGAGCACAGCACTGAGAAGCTAAAGCCGCTTCCGCATGAGTTCAATCCCCACCTGCCCCGGAGGAGACCACAGGGCGCGGCAGACCTCTCCTGACCCGCCTGCTGCTCCCCTCAGCAGTGTGCTTCCCCGATCTGCCTGTTCTGCTCCCCGCTCTGTCACTGGTGAAGCCTCTCACCCCCGACACCTGTGGCCTGTACCCCAGTTCTGTGTGCATAAATAAATAAATGTTTTAAAAAAAAACAGAACAAAGTCAGGCTGAAAGCACAAGTGTAAGTAGGAAAGAAAAAATGGGCTCTTCTAAGAAAAAAACTGAAACTTTTTAACTGTCACTTTACTTTCTGAGAGGCCATATGCTGCCATTTAAGCTGATCTTGTCTGTGTACCAACTCTCCAGCCTACAGCTTTAGAATTTCCTTTAGATTAGCCATTAGTAAGTACATATTCACACATTATTCACAGAGGTTTTTAAGATGGCAACTGATTTTAAAAGGCCGAAGAAAAAAGAATTTATAAATCCCTAATTCTTATTTCTGGGCTTGTTTTTCCCTACATAAAAATAAAAACCTCACAAGATACTCATGGCCAACAGCCACCAGGAAACCAAGCAAACCGCACCAGTGGCAGGATTTCTGACATGTGATGATAGGGCAGTGGACAAATATTTTCACAGAGATCTACTAAAATAGTACTTCCATCACTAGTCTCAGTTCAGACAAATGCTCACCCCGTAAGAAAGGGCAGGGCACACGGCCCCAGGCTGCACAGAGAAGCGCACGACGCTCTTGCCACCTGATACCAGGGACGAGTTCAAGTTAACAGGCAAGGTTGGAAGGCGGGGACAGCTAAAGGACAACATTGCGAAGGAGCCTTCTCCACAGAAAGGACAAAAGAGAATTACGGAACTGTGGTAACTGCCAAACACGAGCCCTATTCGTGAGGGTGCCTCGTGAAGCCCAACAGCGGTTCCAGCGGGCGGGATGTCCCCGGGAGGTGCAGCAGGACTTCTTCTGGAAAAAGGGCCTAACTCTATTCGCTGGCATTCTGCCAGCGGCCTTTAACAGACTGGAAAGTCTCGAGGGAAGGTGCAGTAAGAAAGCATTTTGGGGAGCAAGAATAAGGAAACGTTCAGAGATGTAACTTTTGAACACATAACTGCCCGCAGGGAGAGTTAAAGATGCAAATGGAAGAAGGGAGCTAATCACTCCTACAAAAAGCTCTCTGAACTAGCTGAAATACAGGGTAGAATTTCAATTAAGGATTACTTCCAGCACAAGCTTGAGACCAGAGCAATTTGAAAAGATTATGAAGACAGAAATAAAAGGTAGATTAAAAGAGAAGTGGGCAGAAAGGAAAATCTTAGGTCAAACATCTGAATCATGACGCTACTCGTGAGCACGAAATGAACGCGCACTGACTCAGGGAAGCCGGGAGAACGCAAGCCCCTCGGCTGACCCACCTCACCTCACGGGTGGCGAGCTGGTCGCTGAGCTCCTCGGCCTTCTCGATGTCCCACTCACCCACTGCCTGGTCGACACTCTTCTCTAGGCCAGACTGGAAAGAAAAGAAACCTGAATGTTAAAGGCAGGAAAGAAAAGCAACAAACGTTCGCTGTCAGAGACTGGGCCCTGGGACGCACCAAACCCAGACCACGACGGCGACCGCGTGGCGGCAGCGGCCCTGCTGCTGAGGGTGGCGCCGGGATAAGGCTCACCACAGCCATGTCCCTTCCCGACTAAGGAAAAGGAGGTGCAAAGCCGATCTCTAGCTTCCAAGGCTGTTATTTCCCTCAGTAACAGCGACCCAGGCGTAGTACTGTGAGAAAACGCAAGTCAACCTTTGAACAAGTCCACGAAAAGTGCTGCTCTCTGTCTCAGAGGCAACAATCCCAACCACCATTTTCCTCAGCCTCTTCTCTCCATACTGCAGCCTCAGACTTCCTGTGAACAGCCCCACCTTTGACTATGGGTATTCGGTTAAATATTAAACACGACAGGAAAGTTACATAGAAGATTTTTATTCTTCTATGGAAATGTTTTCATTTACTAACTGAAGACACTTCAGGACATTAGAATTCACACTGTCACAGGATTAGCAGACTAGGTAGGGAAAATCGCCTATTTATGGAAAGACGCTTAGATTTAAATAAGTGAGTTTGAGCTTGAGGATGCAGTTATCACAAAAATACAATGTTTCTCATGTACACTTCCTACAAGAAAACTGTATCCTCACAAGGGCCTGCCTCAGTCCCTTGACATCCACACTTTCAGGTGCTTACCAATAAAGGAAGGCTAAGAAGTTTTCTCCCACCAGTGTATCACTGATTATACTGGTCCACCAAGAGAAATTCTGCTCTTATACAGCATTTGTTGAAATGAGGCTTAACATGATTTGCCTAAAACAATTGTGAAGCACCGGAGGGCGTCATGGCGTCTGTAGATTGCTCTTCTCACAACCTCTCCCCCTGCCTGAGTGTCAGAGACAGAAATTCTTCCTCCTACTCCCAACAGTGGTTTGAGACCTTCATTCGAGAAACCCTCACTACGCCTCGAGTTTTCGGTCTTTCCCCATTACGCGATGTCACCATTCCCTTCTCCAGAAACGCCCCTTTCAGGCATGTCTGCAGGACGCCTCCTTGAGGCCCAACGTGCCTCATCGTCATCTAACTCCACCACCTCAGAGGCTGGTGCCCTCCCCAAGGTGGTGGGTGGGCAGTTCTGGTGCGTAAAACAGGACTTCATCAAGAGCGCATCGCGCCACTGGCTAGTGATCTTCATATTTAAAGCCAAGTAAAGTTTTCAAACTTTTCCTCCCCCAAAACAAGCTCACCAGTCTGTGCCTGCTTCTCTTACTTAGCCACCCCACTAGAATCCTCCGTGTCTTCAATGCCTCCCATCCTTTGCTCTTATTTTAACTCTATTTCTGTCGCATCTCCCCTTTCTTCTGTACTTCTCTGGGACACCAGAACCACCTTTAACTGGCCTTCTACTTCCTAAAGCAGACACCATGGTATCAAGCAGCTTAAAGCACTGCCACATCACCCCTGGTGACGTGCACCCAAGTCACTTCACATTCGGGCCCCAAAATGCATCTCAGCCGCACCCGGGCACAGCTCTACTGCCTACTCTTGGGCCACCTTCACCATTTCAATGCTCTCTGAGCCCTGGTGTGTTTCCAGCACAATCTTAGTCATCTTGTAAGCCTCACGTCAAATGTTACTTTCTCTATCAAGCAAGCTCCCTCATCCCTACATACCCACACCTCCCCACCCCCAACACCTAACTGCTCCCCACTGCCGCCACCTCATACCCTCCTTCAGCACATCTGCTTCCTAGTGAGCTGTCTGTGTTGCCCTTCTGGGGTTCTGTGCTCACAAGGAACAGGCAATTGTGTGTCTCCAAGTCTAGCCTGGTCCTTCTCAGGAGGCAGCAGCCACTGTGTGAGGGAGTTAATGTCTGCAGTGCATTAACCCAGGCGGGAACGCATCCCATAGGGAGCACTCAGTGCATGTCCTCTGCTTCGAGAAGATTCCAAGAGAACCCCACAGCAGTAAGTTGGGAGAAATAATATCCCTGTAGTGAGAAAGTCACAATTTCTTGCATGATCTGTATACCAGGCTCTCACATGAACAAGACTACACTCACATGAAGAGATTCTTCTCCATCTCAAGCTTCCAGGGCTGAGAACAGTCCCTGCACCTGAGCTTTTTATGTAGTATTTAATCTGTATAGTAGAAATAGAAGTCTAAAACACAGTGATACTAGATATTTCCCCAAATGCCACTCAGATCGATGAACACTAGCATCAAACTTCAATTTCCCTGCCACAAACCCCAGCAGCCCAGTACCCCCAACCCTCGCCCAGCAGGCAGGTCACTGACGGCGGCCATCCTGAACCTGTCCTGTTTATTCTGCATGCAAGTCTGTTTCTGTCCAGCTCCCTGAGGTCATGCAAGGCCTGTGTGCTGCAGTCCTTTACTCTCGGACAAAAGCCACAGGTCACTGAGTACAGAGGACTCCAACCCACTTTTACCGCCGATCCCAGTCTGCCTGTCATGTCTTTGGGCTGCCTCAACTTGCCAACCTAACTCCCTCTAGCGACCAGAGAGCCGCGGCTTATGAGTTATTATCACAAAGCGGGAAACAGTGATGCCCCCTCTTCTAGAAACTTATACGAACTTGTGTACTTTACCACAAAAACGAATCAGCTAAAACGACAAATCTTCTGCCCCACAGAGCAGCCTCTGAAGGAGCTGACAGAGCCTCCCGGAGCACTGGACAGAAGTCAGGCAGTCCTGGCTCCAGGTAAACTGACCTCCGAAGCCGCCACCTCCTTACAGAGGAGAGGGGTTGGTCTGGTGACCAAAACTCTCTGCTACAAATAAAAGTCTAGGGTTTTACTTAAATGTCCACTTTTTTTTTTTTTTTTAGCTCTCAATCTAAAGGGTTTTTGTTGTTTTAATTCTCAACAGGTACACTATCTTCTGTTTCTTTTTGCCCCCCTTTCAGGGGAAGAGGGCAATTTACTTAAGTGAAATATAACAGTTCTTCTGACTCTGGAAAAATTCTTGCTCCATATGCACATTCAAACTTTCTAGAAGAAGACATATTATTAATAACCCAAACTTCCAAAATGCTCACATTTAGTGAAAAAATAACTGTAGGAAAGCATGATGTTAATATAAGCTGTGATGCGCAGCAAAATAATAATAATAAGAGCAAGAGCTATAGGTAAAGACTTTCCCTCACCTGGGCCCGCACATTAGCAGCAGTGCAGAAAGGGTATGGCCGGAGGCCGGGCCTGGGGTCCAGCCCAGCGCCTCTGCTGACTGGCCAGGCAGCCCCGGGGTTCCTGAACCTCAGAACCTCAGCTCTCACTGCAGAGCGGGCGTAACACCACATGCTGTGCACGGCATGGCGAAGAGCAAAGAAAAGCATGTAAAATAAGTAGATACGTTTTTAGAATGTAACGAACACGTTCAGATCACGCTTTACAAATACCACGACGCCATCACGAAGAGGCTCGCTAGGGCTCAGACCCGAGAAAACAACTTTGCGAACCGAGTCGCGCAAGGTTCAACTCAGACCCCAGAAGCACCTTTTCTGGAAGCACTCAGCGTGTCCTTCAACCACGGAGGTGACAGCGGCAGAGCAAAGGGCACAGCTCAGGGCCACCGTGCGGCTCGGAGGTGCCTTCGGTAGGAATCACAATGGAAACAGGTTTCAGATTTAGCCCAACACAAACTTAGCGGTGGCAATCAGCCACAGGGGAAAAATCATCTAAGGCCAGTACTTATTAACAGGCTCTGGGGCAGTAAGTAACCTCCAGCTGCAGATGGCAAGAAAGCAGTTCCACAAATACCTAAGAAGTGTAGGGGTCCGAGGTGGGGCCCAGCCAGCTGCCCGTGCACTTACAGGGCATCTTCAATACAGGCGAAGGCCTTGCAAGTTAGCCCGCGCCACAATGTAGGTCTGCAGAAATTCTGCTACTAAATATTTACTGAGGTAAGATGCTCGATGCTTGAGGTTTAATACAGAACAATGACCCACTAAAGCTTGATGTACAACTATGATTAGACCTAATATCCAAGAAAATAATCTCTCCATGAGATAAAGGGGGGCTAAGATTAGTGTGGGTTTTTTGCAAAAAAAAAAAAAAAAAACTGTATCTACTTAAATTATTTAAGGCAAGTAAGTAAAAGCAAAGTTGAGCTGTTACTTCAGAAAAACCTAGATCCAAATGACTTGTGTTAAAGTCTCACTGTACTTCTCACCTGTCCTGTTTGTTTCCTTAAACAAACGATACCGAGTTTCGGTTTCTCCACCTAGATCAGGAGGATAAGGCTGGCCCTACCTCCCACCCCACAGGGACCCCCTCGGGGTCAGGACAGAGAGCTCGGTAACTGACACTGGGGCCTTCAGGCCCACTCCACCCCCACGCCGCACAGCCTCCACACCTTCCCCTCCTGCCACTCAAGGTGGCAGCGCTTGATCTGGTCCATATGTTGGCATCCATCAAGATTCTGGTTGGAAAAAACATTCTGCTTAAAAAAAAAAAAAAAAGTTTGAAAAAAGCTACACTATGGGCCCTCCCTGGTGGCGCAGCGGGTTAAAGCGCAGCACTAAGAAGCTAAAGCCACTTCAGCATGAGTTCGATCCCAGCCCTGGAGGTGACCCACAGGGCGCGGCAGACCTCTCCTGACCTGCCCGCTGCTCCCCTCAGCAGTGTCTGTCGACTGCCTGTTCTGTTCCCCGCTCTGTCTCTGATGAGTCCTCTCACCACCCCTGCATCTCTGGCCTGTACCCCAGTTCTGTATGCATAAATAAATAAATCTTTAAAAAAAAAAAAAAGCTACACTATACAACAGCAGTTTACTCTCACAAGCAACTACAAAAATGACCAAAACCATTGTGCATTAATCTAAAAATTGTGAAAAGGACCTCTGGTTTTCATGCTAACAATTAAGTATAAATAAAACTGGCCATTGACAACTAATCAAACTGATTCAACTGAAGAATAAATACTTCAGACATTTATGATATTAAGGAATGAAATTTATTCTTTAAAAATTCCCAAAAAGATTTCAAATAATTTATGTTATGATTACAGAATTATTATTAAGCCCCAGAGCGGCTGCCAGAAACACAATTATAGCTGTGTATAATACAAGGAACACTTAAAAACAGCTTTTGGATATTAGGAAGATTACCTTTGAAAGAGCTAAGCCTCCTGCCTGCCGGGAAGCAGGTGACGGCAGGCTGTAAATACACATGCGTGGTTGACAAGTTCTAGCTTGGCGGCGTTCCAAGGGGCAAAGACAAAAAGACTGGACGACAACGCAAACTGGGAGGCCGGTTGTTTCACTGTTTTTGAGGGTTCAGTGAACGAGTGCAGAGTAAGAAGGCGCGGAGGTGGGGTGAAGGAGCAGCCTCTGCTCCAGAAAATGAAGAAACGGACTAGACACCCACGCCAGCTTTGTCCAAACTGCCAGCGCACATCTCCTCGATCCTCTATGACTTCTTGAGCAGCAGCTATTGTCTGCTGGACTTAAAGTTTATTCTTAGCTTTTATCTTGGTGCCTCCCATGTGGACATTCTTTAATGTCTATTTACTCTGTTGGAGTCACAGAGGAGACATTAGCAGGAGAGCGGAAGGGGAGCGTGTAAAACATCAACCCCAAACCAAAGAATGAGTATAAGCCTGCTGGCATGCAATTATGAACCACTAAGAGAAAATGAAATAATATGGCATTACTAAAGCCTTCCTTCCTTTTATGCTTACAATTAATATGAAGTGCTAGCAAAATCCTGGGCAGACCCAAGCCTGGCCAGCATCAGTTTCTCTGCTTGGAAGATTGCTATGACTTCAGCCAGTTATCAGTCACAGAGTAAAGCAGCTGCATTTAAGAAAATCCAAACATAAAATAGATCAGGGGTGATGACAAAAACCTTTACAGTGGTCTTCCCTTAAACAGAAATCTCATCCTAAATGATTTATCATTTTTCTAGAATGTTCAATATTCAATTGAAACAAAGAGCGGTCCCTAAACACCGAGTTGTTCAAAGGCTGCACAAGGAATACTAGCCTTCTTTCTTAAAGCCACTCCACACAAGTGCCAGACTACAACTCAACAGCTATATCCTGCCAGAATCAAGACAGTACAATGCCACAGAAGTAGGTAATACTAAAATTCGAATATAAACATACTGCAAGAAAAACTCAAAATTTCCACTTTTGAGAATGGTTAAAAAGTCAATCTCATGGCTAAGAGGCCACCTAGACATTCCGAAGTCAACACAGTTAAGAAGCACAACAAATACTATAAATAATTGAAGATCTAAGACCACATAACTCACAAGAAAACGTAAAGATGCTTTTTTCAGGCCACCGCCAAAACTGTACACAACTGTTTCACTGGACTGATTTATTCTCAGGGCTGAAAGACCAGTTCTGCAAATAATTGATGAACCAACTTCTTGAAAAGTTTCAAAGACAGGACTACAGGGAACCAAAACTCTGCCACCCCCAGTATGTCCTTTTGGCGAGAGGCTTATTTCATGGGAGGGGTTCTGAGGGCTGCTAGGAAGAGGTGGCCTTGATGCTGACCTGTAAGCTCTCGGTCAGAGCCTCCCCCTTACTGCCTTTCACTGGAGGAGACTGAACTAAATCTGCACGCCTCTTGTTTTCTCTACCTCTCCCGGTAAACACAGTGACAGATTTCCTCAGGTATGCTGGGTCTCTCCCAGGTACACAGGCGGCACGTATACTGCTATTACTGTTAATGTCAAATTCCCTCCTGTGGGAGAACTAGCAGCCATTCATTACCCCTAAGAGCAACCTCGGTGGCAGCAGCCGGAGTGCTAACACAGCCATCAGCCCAGACCGCCTTGGCCCGCCGCTGTCAGCACAAGCCCCCTCCCCGCTGCTCCTCTGCACATTTGCCCTAGTCTACAGCACCCCCTCCCAAGCCCCCAAGAAGCGGGAGGGTCAAGAGTACAGCAGTGACAGCACCTTTGGCAGTGAAGCGAGAGCTGAGAAAGGCGTGCCAACGCTTGGACTGTAGTTTCAACTCCAGCAGTGATCCTTTCTTCAGAAATTTAGTGTTTCTGCCCTGCTTGAACTTGTATAGAAGGAAGACCCTCATGAGCAGTAATCAGGTGTGACAGAAAGTTCAATTCCCAGTGTTCAAGGACAAGGCCAGAGCATAGGCACAAGAATAAAATATAATCTAAGACCAATGACCTCTGTCCTGTGCCCCTCACGAATGAGAACAAAACAGGAGGGGTTTGGGAACTGTGAGGTAGAGCTGCACCAGGCTGCACCTCTTCTCAGGAACGGGAGACAGCTCAGCAGCCCCAGAACTGGAACCGACTGAGCGTCATGTGGGGTGAGGGGGGCGAAAGGGGGAGAAGGCAGGAGTGCTGGGTGCGTAGGGAGACTGGGAACTATGGACACTTCCCCACTTCCTGACACGCCTGTCCCCCAAATAAAAGGGATGTGCTCCCTAGAGAAAAAGATGGCTAGAGGAAAGGTGTTCTTTCTTTCTTTCTTAAAACAAGTTAGCCCTTCTCCATTGCTCATCACGCAACAGTCTGTTAAACCAAACCTGGTTTCTGAATGTCTGGCTTTTGGCCATCAAGTGAAAGGTCCCTCACTGCAAGGGGTTTCAGTCACAGATGACAAGATCTTCTAGCGAAGTTGGAATTAACAAGTTCACATCTGTTGTGCCAGTTCCTTTATGCTGTGCCCTTGATTACATAGTACCACCCAGGGGCGCTTGCAAATCAGAAGTTTTCACAAGAAATACTGGTCAGTCAGAAAATGGTAATGGCCCCTCGGTATAGCGCGAGCTCACAGCGGCCAAGTACCACATGCCTGGCCCCGGGCTTCTGGCCTAGCGCCCAGCACTCAGTTTTCATGCACTCGGAGTCGGGCTACCCTGCCCGCGTTTCCAGGTGTCAGTCATGCGCCCAGTCTTCACTAAGGGTCACCTCGGGGACGGGGCTCTCAAGCCCGGGCTCTTCCTGTGTCACCCCCCAGGCTCTTCTGATCCCACCTGCCAGCACAGCTCAGCCCACTATAAATCCTTTCCCTCCAAGTTTCTCTTCTTCCTAAGGAGCATCGTTACTGGCACCACTGCTGAAGGCAAAGGCCTTCAATTTCTCTCTCCCCCTCCTCGTGCCCCCTCCCCCAAGCCATCCAAGGCCACACCATCCACGATCTACTGCAAATCCACCCATCTTCCCTATCTCCGGCTGCACCATCCTGGTCAAGCCACCATTATCTCTGCCCAAAGAGTCTCTTCACTGCTCTCAGCTCATCTACCTGTGTCAGCCCCAGTCATACTCCACAGAACGCCAACATTTAACATTCATTTTTAAACACACATTAGAGCATGGCTCTCCCTTGACGTTAAGCCCCTAACGGACACTAAGTGCGCTATGACTGAGCCCTACTGCCGCCTGCCTTCCCCTCTCACCCGGGGCACTCGCCTCGCGCCGCCAGGCTGAGCTACTTGCAGTCAACACACATGCCTGCGCGACTCTCTCCCCAGGGCCTCCCCATGCTGAGGCCACTGCACTGGCATTCTGTGCAGGCAGAGGGTTCCTCCCCGCCATCAGTTCTCCGTGACATGGCCTCTTCCAGGGAAGGCCGCCCCAATCCGTAGAGCCTCCATTTTAATTTCTACACAACATGCTGTTCATTTGCTAAACAATTTCATAACGATTTCCACCTACACATGTATCTGTTTAGCTGGCATACTGCCTGGCATACAGCAGGCATTTTAACTTTTCAGAGAATGGATGAGGAAGGGGAAACACCGAGGTGAGGCTAGTCACAGTCACTACTGGCTACTGTAAGACGCAACGAGAAAGTACCTTACCTTCTCAACTTTTTTCTTTTTAACTGGTGGATCAAACCTATCATTAATTCCAAAATACTGAGTAAGCTCCTTCCACTGGGTTTCACTTGAGGTCTGTGCACTGTGGAAAGACAGGCAATAACTTAGGTTTGACACAAAAAACGCTCATTTTTATGTTTTTACTATTTTTACTTGTATTATTACAATTATTTTACAAGAAAAGTTCTTACGTTTGAATTTTGTCAGTTCTTTTTACAAGTTCTATAATATCTCCAGGATAGGAAAATTTTAAATCCCACCTACCTATGAGATTCTTCTTCATCCTTCAAGTTACCTGAAAAGAATTCAATGTCAATAACTAAATACTCTGCTGTTATTTCAAAACTATGTTCACTAAAAACTGTGGACTCAGTCAACATTTAACATTCAGCACTACTAAAGATCTGAATGAGAACAAAATACCTTTTTTTGAACGTTTTCTTTTTTTCCCTTTGAATCTTGAAACTGAGGTTTTCTGTTCAGAATGTCTTTTATGCAACTCTTGAAATTTCTAAGTAAAAGTAAAAAAGAGGGAGAGAGAGAAGCAAATATATTTTGAAGCAAAAAAAACCCTGATAAGTAGTAATTCTTAGACATGCAAAAATATCAACTTAGTAAAAGTAGTTGCATTCTTGGGATACCCTATTTTCCAAGACATTTTCACAACCAATTTTTTATCTGCATTTATTTCTAAATAAGTTAGCTGGTAATCTGGAAATAAAATTCATATAGACAACAAAGAGATAAAATTAACATAGGAAATATAGGCCCAGGCATCAAGTTAGTTTTATGAAAATCTAATCAGAACAAAAATGAAGGCAGGTGTCTAAGTAGCCAGTGGGCTGAGGACAGCCCCAGAGAGCAATGACAGCTTCGTGAGTCACCTCTGCCCAGGCCACACATTCTGGGCACAGACTTCAATAATTGGAACACATCAGAAAACCTACATTCCACATATTTAAGGGAATTCCAGAAGGACATTCTTCATAAGCATTTACTCTTGCTTCTGCTTCAGGTTCCGGTCCATTGCTAGGGAACGCTGTGGGGCCTGCTTTGGGTACGGGCCCATCTTCTTTATCTCCCTGCAGGGTAAGTCCAGAGTTCTCTAGCGTGGCCTCATCTTCAGAATTCAACTCAGCATCATGTTCACTCAGGCCAGGAGGCAGCAGCCCGCTCCACATGTTTTCTTCTACAGGGGAAAAGGTGAATTCAGACACAGAAAGTCACCATGGAGTAATATCAGGAGCACTGAAAGACATCCGGGATGTTGGCAGTCGTGCCAGTGGGCTTGGGACCACGGGGTCCAGCTATAAACCTAAAATGGGGTGCACCTCTGTGTTAACCACTAAAATCTTTCCTTGTGTAAGAAAAGACAATTACAGAACTTAAACGAGTTTTTTCAGTCTCCAGATGAGTGACTTATGTGGACCTTGATTTTCAATATACAGATAATTTACTTTTAAAAATATAAATCTGGCGAAAGAATTCATTGCTCAAAACTGTTAAGAAGCTAACTAACAATATACATGGCAGACAATTTAAGGATTGTGATACTGCATTTCAAGTTATAACACTTAGAGAAAAAAATAAAGTCAGATGTTTCACCTATAGTTGAATGTGTCAAATAAAAGAGCAGGAAAAAATTATTCAAGGGAAAATTTTTAAACTGTGTGAGTTCAAGTGGTAGTAAAAAAAGAATAATCTAGTTTTAAATTTTATACTGCTTGCTCAAATAATGCTACATGGAGTATAAGCCTAACAATTTAACAAAAAATGTATAGCTTATTTGAAGAACAACACTGTATGTGAGAAAGTAATGTTCAAGTCTGGGATAACACTAACATTAGCTGTAAGTTAACTATTGTCAATTTTAATAAAAATGATTTTTAAAAACTGGCATTGTAGCTGTTTGCTAAAATTACTCAATTCAGTACTGATTGCATGGCACAGTCTATCAGCAAATAAGCCAAACTCAGTCTGTGCAAAAGATGTGTAAAATAGAGATGTTTGCTATACTGCTCTTTGGTTACTGCCCATCTGAGGCAAAAGGGAGGGATTCTTTTTCACTGATCTTTCTGCCCCATGACAAAACTGGTAAGAGAACCACCACCATTCTCTGAGCAAAGGCATCAGAGGATTTTGACCTACTCAAAAGAAGAGATTCCTGAGAACTCCTCCCAGGTCGGGGCACACTTTCTGCTGTCAGCTAGGCGGCTGCCAGGTTAGGACGCGCTGAACATGCTCACCACAATATCCCCTGGCTTGTAAGAGGAAGAGCGCTGGCGTGTGACTGACATCCGAAACCTGGAATCCTGCCTTTTCACAGGAAAATCACTGGGAACATCGCTGACCCTCAATTTTTGCATCTGGGATGCGGGGATAATCATGACACCTGCAGGGTTACTTGCAAGAGTGGATAAGCCAAGAAAATACTGCTGAATTCTTTCTCTGCTATTGTTTCTGTAGCCACGTACTGCATCTTCATAATTTGATCACTGGCAGCAATGGATTTGACTCTCCATGTCAGAGGTGCATTCACTTAGCAACTGATGCAAATCCTTTATGTCCTATTTCCCCAAGTTGACACTGACTAACTATAAAATAGTTTTGGTGCCCAGTTTTCTGAGCGGAGTAATAAAATCAGAACCAAATTACCAGGAAGAAGATGGAGCTTAAGCTTCACTTTCCCAGGTCCTTCCAAAGCATTGCACCTAATTTTCTATCTGCAATTTATATTCTATTGTTTAAAGAGGAGACCCCAAATTATAGGAGATCCAGATCCCATAAAGCCTAGAAATCGGGCCTGAGGATTTTAAAAGTTGGCGTGGAAGTATCTCGTAATACTTTGGTAAGGTAGAGGACAGCTTATAAATATGCCAATACTGACAAATAGAGTCTACACTATTACAAAATTTGATCTACTTTTCAGAGGAGCCGGGAAAGGAGTGATAGTTAGGTTCAACAATTTTCGGGGGGCAAGGGGGTGTATGTGCATTTAGGCTCATTATCCATTTCATGACCTAAGGGTAGTCATAAATCTCAGAATTAGTCTTCTTAGCAAAATTTAGGCTCCACGTTTGAAACCTCTGCTTCTCTCCCCTGCCAAGACATCTTTTACATGCCCGCTGTATGCCAGGCTCTCCTCAAGAGATGGAAACAGCACTGTGCAAAACAGGCAAAAATGCCTAACCTCGTGGAGCCAACCTTCTGCACAGGTGGCCAGCTCTGTCCACCAGCCACCCAGTATCCCTCAGCCCAGACTTCAGCTGTGGCTGCTCATGACAAGTACATGCTTCCAAGAGGGGCCCTGATCTTCTGGAGCTACACCCACATTGAATGGCCTTTCAGATTTTCTCAAAGTCATAAATTTCTAGCTTTTGCTGACAGAGCATTAAGAATTATCTTTAGTGAGGAATTGGCTGGTATGATCAATTTTTGTGTGTACCCACAGAAAAAAAGGAAAAACAACACATTAAAAAGGTAGTCTCTACCCCTAAATCCATGGCATGGGGCAAACTCAGAGGCTGAGCAAAATTCTTGAGCCTCTCTAAAGTGCGGGGGCATCTCCTGAGCTTCTCAGTAAAGCGCAGGGCAGCTGAGGGGCAGTGCAACCAGCACTCTCTGGGAGCCTGCAGAGTGGAGCTGCCCATGAGCGGGCAACATGGAGTGGCTGCTTCGAGGCTGCCTTGGGGTCCTGTTCAGACGTTGCCCTGCTATTCAGAGCGTGCGCCTGCGCTCACGCAGCTCCAGCTCTGGGGGATGACGCCCATTTCCCTGAAGTGTCTCTCACCCCTGCTTCTGAGTGTCTTCCTTTTTATATAGCTCATTCCAAATTACCCTTTAAATGTGAAGCCAACTCAGTCAGTCTGAAGAGATACATATGTATTACACAATTAGAAACTTGGTTTTTAATGTAGATGATAGTGAGCTGTAGTACATGTGCAAATTCACAAGCTTTCATTGTTTAGCCTGTAACTCAAAATTTTAATCACTTTAACTCCATGCAACTGATTGAGATTCAGATCCCTTTTTTCTCTCTGACTTATACCTTCATTCTATGCACCTTCTACCTCTGGAACTTACAATTATTCCTTTCCCAATTATTCTACAAAAAAATTCTGTGTATACTCCACAGAATGCATCTTTAGTCTCTGGCCAGCGCAATTTATTATAAACTGAAAATATGTATCTATCATCCTAATCTGAAAGGCTGAGTTTTCTCCTGCCCTTGAAAACCAACCAGTAACAATCTAGCACACTGGGGCAGATGGCAGCACATCAGAAAGTGACACAGTTCAGCGATTCTTAATCTGAGGTTTCACAGTTTCATGAAGCTAGTGCTGCAGCTAAGTTAATTTCAATATTCAAAATGGGTAACTTATTTTATTTTTCCTCAAACAACATCAGCCACCTTTTAGGTGAGGATACAATTCAATGAAGCATTATTCTTCACCACATACTGGTTTACCTCAGGCTCTGAACAGTACTTTTATGTACATTTAAAAAAAAAAAAAACTGGTAACTTAGTGGACATAGACTTTCAGAATATAGCATCCTTGAAAATATCAAACTGTAATAAAAGGCATTCTAAGTTGTGAAAGGAAACAGATCCCCTGGAGTAGTAGGAAAAACAGGTTTTCAAAGTCAAAGCTGAGTTTCTAATCCTGAGCCCTGTCATTGTGGGTAAGTCCCTGTACCTATCTGGTCTCTACTCTTCAGCTATCAGATGACCTCTGAGATGTCTTGCGTGTCTAAAATGTTTCCTGATGAGTCACAGTATTACATGTGCGCACACACCCAGAGTCACCTTCTTCTTTGCTGTATGTAACACCCCATTTTCTCCCAGACACAAAGTTGGTTAAACCCCAATACTTCAGTAGCATATCTAGTGGAGATAAGGGTTCTCTCAACCTAGCCACAGCAAACAGTACTACTGATTTTCAGTGAGACTCTGCATTTCAGATAAGACACCCAAGGGAAACTCTGAGGAAAGGGCAGGGAACCTCAGCTATAACAGAAGAAACAGAACCAGTAAAGGAAAACAAAACAGGTCATCGCTATATACAACATACAAACAAAGTGACAGGCACTTACTTCCTGTTAATCCTCAAGTCAGCCCCTCTGCAAGTAATCACTATCTAAACTCCTTGTACACATGAGTTAACTCACTTCACTCATGCATTTGTGATCTGCTGATTTTACAAAAATAAAACCCCATGTCTTCAAATTATAAATTCTTAGAGCGCAGAGTTGTAAGTGGTAACACATATTTTTAGAGACAAAGATTTGAGAGTGGGTCTGAAGAATGACTCCAGTCTGCATTCTAGACTCATTCAAAATTGATTAAGGATTTTTTTTTCTCCCTTTTTTAAATGCAGGAAGCCATGTCATATGTTATAATAAATTGTATTCATCAAAGGTCTGGGTAATTATGTCACATTTTCTGGAAGGTTAGGCCAGTGCTTATAACCAAAACCCAAAAGATATAATCTACACAGTATAATGGGTAAAGGTCTTCAGTTCCTAATATTCCAGAGTTTCAATTCCCTTTTCACCAAATGAAGCTGTCTTACTTTCCATATTTTGAATTCAATTAGAAATTACAGAAATCTGAGCCTTGTCTGATTTGGAATTAATCTTACTTACTTGCATAATTATCAACTACCACTAGGTCATTTGAAGATCGCGTTCAATAATTTACCCAGTTTCTATAACTTGTAATTAGTTACCCAATTAAAAATACTTTTCAGTATGTATCAACATTCATGTAAATGTCCTATTTATTTTTAGGGAATAAATGTGTTCCCATTTCTCATAAAGATACACAAAGTACAAATAAATCACAAGTCTGGTTTCAGATTTAAGTTACCAATCCCATCACCCAGATAATTTAGCAGGGTTTTGTGTATGCCTATGTTCTAATTAAAGGCTGCTTGTTTGATCAAGGTCTGGAAAGCACCCCCGGACCCAGGGTGGAGAGATTTACAATGAACCAATAACATTTCGAGGCTCATTTTAAGTCAGACGCCGCGGTGAGACTTACCAGGTTCAAGACAGCCAGAGGCCAGCTCTAGAAAAGTAGCCCTCTCCCTGCTGGGCGGCGCGACCTGGGCGTCGGCAGGGTCTCGAGCGGCAGAGCCACACTCGGGGGGCCAGCCCGGAAGGACCCCGTCCTGGGCAGAGCCGCGCGCCGCAGATCGCCGGGTCCTCTGTCCAGCCTGCGGCCACTCGCCCTAAACTGCAGCTCGTCCCCAAAACACAACGACTGTAAACAGGAGCCTGCTTCCCGGGCCAAAGCCTCCACGCTCCCGCTCGCTCGGGTCGGAGTGGTACGCGCAGAACCCCTCTCGCACCAACAGGCTGCGGAAGGCGCAGCGACGCCCCTTCGGAGTGAAGCGGAGGCCAGTCCCGCAGACGCTCCGGTGGGCCCGAGCCGGGGCCTCTGCTGACCCACCCGTGTCGCTGTGAGGCTGCCCACGCCAACTCCCTAGCTCTCCGCACCCGACCCCGGAGACCCGTCACGCCCGAGCCGGGCCGACGCGAAGGAAGCCCGACTAGCAGCTATACTCACCGGTCTGGAGCCGACCGCCCGGCGGCCATCTTAAGACCCAGCAACATCGCGACTTCTCATTGGCTCGGGAAGTTTAGCCAATGGGCTACGGCCGTTCTGGCCTCCGGGTCGCCGTGGCAACCAGCCGCGCCGCTCAGCTCGGTTACACCCGAGGTACACAAGGGCTGGTCCTTGTCTTTCTATAACCCCGCCCCTTTCTCTCACCGTTTTCCCTTTTCTTCGGGATGATTTAAAATGCTTTGTTCTTTCTCCATCCCCTCTGTAGGCCAGTGCTCCCGAGTAAAGACGGCGCTGCTTGGACCTTGAACTGAGTTCATCCCACAAGTAGTGAGAAGCTCTACTGAAGCTCTCTAGGTCCTTCCGGGAATGTTTCCCATGAATTGATCCTTTGCAACCTCCCTCCCTTCTCTCCAGCCTCTTGTTCTTCCTTATGCACAAGTCTGCTTTGTTTGTGGTTTTCTGTCTGCACAGATTTATTGAGCAGGCTTCTGTTTAGCAGGGAACGGTCCAGACTCCTGCTCTCACGGAGCTCACCAACCTGGTGATATTCCGGCCACGCAGCTTCGCTGGCCAGCGGGTGACCTTGGCCAAAACTTATGTTGACTTCTTTTCCTATTTTAGAGTATAAAAAACAAGCAAGCAAGAAACAAACAAAAAAGCACTCCCTCAAAGAAGATAAAATAGAATGTTTCCATGATAGCAGTGCAGCTATTTGAAAATATTTTCATGTTAATAAGAAATAAGATTAAGGATATTTTTCAGCAAACTCCAAGCCAGTGGCTGGTGCTCAAAGCCAACTCTATGGTAGATGGTGGAACTTTCTCTATGGTAGATGGTGGAACTCTACCCCTGATGTTCTTGGTAGTAAGGAGAGCTGATAGGATATAGGAACAGAGCTGGAGTTCACAGCTCAGCTCTGGGGCTCAGCATTAAAACCACTGGTGCCTAGACAGTTAAACCCACTGTTGATGCTGTAGAGAAGCTTCCTTCATACCTCATTTGGCCATGTGGACTCTGGGCTTTGTTTAGTGGACAGTACCTGGGCTGAGACAGATGGCATCTGGCCACATGCCAGGCGATAAGTTCTGGCCCCTCTACCTTTTCTCACTTCCTGTGTGAATAAATCTAGTATTGTTGTTTATCATCATATGTCTGTTTTCAGTTGTGTCCTGCATTCTTAAATGCATGGGTGAGGCCCCACCAGCTGGGTCACCTCCCTTCCATTGAGATCCTACTGTTTTACTTCTGATAGTTATATAAGAAAAATTACATAAAACCCAGATACACACACACCAGACATATGTACATACGTATAATTTACATACCACATAGGTCATATACGTAAGCTGACCCACAGTAATTTTAAATCTTAGCTATTTGTTGTTAATGTTATTAATAACGCCTGCCTTTGAGGCATTCTAAAAATGTGTAAAATTTTTCATCACACTCAAACTTTCATTGCAATCATGATTTAGAGCAAACAAATGTTTAAATTTATTAACTATCTGTTACCTCACCCCCCAATGTTCCTGAAGTCGTTTTCTATATAACCCCAGAGTCATAGTAAAATCTGACTTGACAATGTTAGGCCCCTAAGGTCCTGATTCATGCCATATTCTCTGAATCTGGAAAGAGTGAGTGATTGAAGGGTCTCTGTGAAACTGCTAGCTAAATGTGTCCAGCTTCCCAATGGTGAGTTCCTGAATCCAAATCTTTGAAAAGTTAAAAAATAGATATTGCATTGGACGTCTTAACTGCTACAGTATTCTGCTCCTATCTTAACAAAATACATAGATTGGGTAGCTTAAACAACAGAAATTGATTTCTGAGGGTTGTAAGTCTAAAATCAAGATGCACGCAAATCTGGTTCAGTTCTAAGGTCTTCTCTTGGTTTGCAGGTAGCAGCCAACTTGTGCATGTTTGAGGTGGAAGGGGTAGAGAACTGAGGAGGAAATTGGTTAACTGTCTCTGTCTCTTCTTATGAAGACACTGTCCCTGTTGGATCAGATCCCAGCCCATATCACCTCACTTATTTCCCTAGACTCCCCACATCCAAACAGTCACACTGCGAGGTAGGGATTCAGCATAGGAAACTGAGAGGTACAGAAGCATTCAGTCCAGCAAACACCAAAAGTAGAAGTATGATCAGGATAGGAAAAGTGAACACAGAGGGCCAGAACCAAAACAGGAGATAGGAAGACAGTTTTGTCAAGCCATTGAAGAACTGCCTGGATTGTTTCTATGTATAGTCTATCAAAGATACTCATCATTTAGTGCAAAAAATGAAAGCAGGACTAAAATTACAAGTACATGGAAGATTAAGAAACATCAGATTCCACAGATGTCTTTGGAAAATCTTACTCTAGAAATAGGCGGTTTAAAAACCAAGTTTTCGAATATTAATTTGAGCACTCTCAAATACCTGATTGTTCGTGATATTATTAGATTCCTGTAGTAAACATAAGTAGCTCAGACTTTTCTCCTGGTTCTGACTCTAAGATTTTACATAAGAGTATTTTTGTTTCACCAGTTTTCTGGAGAAAATGTCAGTTATTTGATTTATTTTAATCAATAAATTTACTCTCCCTCCAGCAAATTCCCACTCTGGACACCTGCCAAGCCGTGCATTTTGTGAATGAAATACTTGTATTTTTGAGATTTCTATAAAACATAGAATTATTGAATACCTTTCACTAAATCATGGTGAAATAATTGATGCAGCTAGTGAATTGTGCTTGAATTGTGTTTGCATCTGGCACTAATTTCAAACATGTAAGTTTTGTGTAAATTCTCAAATATATCTTAAAAAACATAGAACAATTTTTCTTTGCCAAGAAGAATTATAGCTTATGAATAGTTTTCCCTTCTATTTAGTTTTTTCTTATTATAGAGATAACATGTCACACTCATGTTTTAAAATTTTAATTGGGGAGTTCTTTTTTAGTGGCTACTAAATCTGATGGATGGAAACTTCCAAAAATATAATGAAATCCCTTAAATAGCTCTCAGCTGGAAAAAAGTGAATATGACTTTGTGGAACATATAATAAATGTGCTTCTTGCTGAAACTAAAAAAGACAATAGCTAGTTTCTGTCTGTACAAAATATTTCATTTTCTGCATTGAAGAAAAAGTGACCCAGTGACTTAAGCAGAGAATAGAAACAAGGAGATTTAAATTTTAGAAATTGTGTTGACATCCTTCATGATGAAGGTGTGATTATTTCTTTATCTGGACATACCTATAACAATATTAGCCTTCAAGGAATATGCAGAACTAACACTGCGTCATTGCCAAGAGTTAACATTTGATGTCGCCAGAGAAAAGCACTTTTTTTTTAATTGCTCAGGCTCTTCTGCTTCAAGAAGTTGTACAGAAGAAAGGGGTGAGGGGCAGGAAAATGAGCCCTACTGGGCATTTCTGGATTTTTCATTTAATTTGATATGGTCCTAGAAGTTGTTATTGTATCCATTTTACAGATAAGAAAGTGAGAGTTTCAAGAGTTCAAAAAAGTTGCCTAACATCACACAGGTGGTAACAAGCAGAGCCAGGCAGGGGTGTTTAACTGCTCATGTTCTTTGCCCTGTCACGCTGCCCCTTAGATGGGGAAGCCCTGACACCTCCCAGTGCAGGGCAGTCAGTAAAGGGTAAACATTACTTCAACCCAGTGGGAGGTGCTCCTGGTGGGGCTCCTGTCAAGAGAGGCTTTGGGAGCAAAATGTCTCCCCTCTCTGCATTCCACCCCCTACCTGTGAATCATGGAATCGCATGGGAGGCCTCCTCTAGATTCTTCCCAGTTTGCTACCTTGAAATCTTAACACGCCGCCTTCCAGAACAGTGTACTGCCCTTCTCAGTGAAGGACAACATTTACAGAGGACCTCTCTGGTGGTATAGGGGTTAACAGCTCAGCACTATAAAGCTATCAGCAGCCACTGCAGCATGAGTTCTATCCCTGGCCGGGGAGCTGACCCACAGAGCATAGTAGAATTCTCCTGTCTCCCCACTGCTCCCTTCACCAGTGGATTTCAGTGAATCTGCCTGTTCTGCTCCCCACTGTGTCTCTGGTGAATCCTGTCACCCATACCTCTGCCCTGCACCCCAGCTCTTATATGTATAATTAATAAATCTTTAAAAAAAAAACCACACACACCCAACTTTTACCACAGAGACTGGCATGTTATCAGCAGTCAGCAACTATTCATTTCCTTACTTTATACATTAAAACTAAGGGGGTGTTTGTGGTCTCTGTGTGTGTGTGGTGTGGGTCTGTGTGTGTGTGTGTGTGTGTGTGTGTGTGTGTGTGGTGTATATGGTGTGGTGTGTGTGTGGGGGGGGGGGGTTTCCAAACACATGATATGTATAATAACAAGAGTGAAACCATCATATAAACTTTGGATTTTGGATGCTCATGGTGTATCCATGGAGGGCTCTCATTTGTAACAAAATTACCACCCCTGGGTGCTGTGGATAATAGGCTAGGCCTGTGTAGGGACAGTGACTATGTGGGAATTACCTGTACTTTGTTCTCCACTGTGCTATGTACTAAAAGGGCTCTAAAAATGTCATCTTTAAAAACATTAAAAGAAGAGCCATTGTTCCGTACATGTATATATTATATGAGACTCAATTTTTAATGTCCATAAATAACGTTCTATTGGGACACACACAGAGACACGAAACTAAAATAACTGTTAACAGATTATCAGATTAATTCATCAGCATCCTCACGGTCCTTCCTGATGTCCAATGCCTAGCACCTGGCTAAAATTTAAAGAAAATACAAATGAGGTATATGAATTGGCTG